GACAGACAAATTTATGCATGACATACGGTTAAGTTTGTTAGTAGAGATATTGAGTGTGTTTGTTTAGTATTTTATTTTAAGGTAATTTTTCGATGTAAAGTACTAAAAATCATGTCAGTAATATAAAAAATAATATTTGTTAAAATATTGAAAAATTGTTTTACAAAAATGTAATAATAAAAATTGATTGGGAAAAATAAAACCCAATTTAATTATCTATTCAATATATATGTATATATATATATATATATGCAAACTAAATTCATGTTATATATGTAAAAACATTAACAAATAAAATAAGAAAATAATGCTTACAAATATGAATTAAATTCAAAAGAATTAAACAACACAAAGTTATTTATTAATAAAGCATACTAAACATTTAGATGTGTTTCTTTTGAATCTCTATATATATACATTTTTTTATTATTTGTACTCTATAATTTTTAAAATATATTCCCTCCGTCCCTTAACAATCTATTCTATTTTTCTATTTTGGTTTTTCCCATAACAAAGTATTCATTTATTTCTTTAGTAATTGTACTGTCTACCTAACATTACAAATATCATTTCAATTTACAATATATTACACAAATATCATTACCTTTATATCATATAATACTAATAGGGTTAATTTAGTCTTTTTACTTTATCATAATATAATACTAATATTTCTAAAACTCCGTACAAAAAGTAAATGGATATATAGATACGAGACGGAAGAAGTATTTTTTACGCTCATAAAATAGCATATACAAAAAATCATTTAGATTATTTAAAAAATACAAACATCAAAACCAATTCTAATTAAAAAAAGAAACGAAACACAGTCGATATTGTAGATCAAATGAGAAAATGACCTAAGCCCAACATTAGCATGACGAAATTCAAAACCCCAAATGTATTTAATTTGTCCTACTCATATATATATATATATATATATATAAAGAAATAAATAGTGATGCATAATTCAATTGGATGTCCTTTGAACACAATTCAAATATTCAAACAATATAAAGTGTCTCTGGATCAATTATTATGTGGGCATGATATTAAAATCATTTCATTTATATTTATAGTCCTACCAACAAAAGTGTAGGCCTAATTTTCATCATCAACTATAATAGTATTCCCACATAAAATAAATATGTATATATATACACATTGCAAAATAATACTCCCTTCCTCCAATTTTTATTGTTCTAAAGTATATTTATACGGTTTTTTAGGTGATTGTCTTTTTATGATAGATTGACAAATTTGCCCTTAATTGTAGGGTAGAGATTAAAAGTAATAAATGAATGAAGGGTAAAAATGTAAAATTTGTGGTTACAAGAAATAAGACAATAGTTGTTGGACGTCCCAAATAAGAAAGTAGGACATTAGTTTGTGGACGAATGGACTATTATTATTGATTTTATTTTATTTATTTATTATTATTATCATTATTATTATTATTATTATTATAGGATTCCTGGCTGTTGAGCAATATATATTAAAAAGTAGGAGCCTTTTTTTGGTCTTGCTTTCATAATAATATAAAGTATATTTCTTTTGTAAGCATGATAATGATATATATATATATATTGATACATATAACTAATTAAGTGATTTTTTTCAATGATTATTAAGGTTGTATTTGATTTTTGTTTGTATCTAGTATTTGTATATTGTATTTTAATAGTATTTGAATTTGATGTTTTGTAATAAAAATAATATAATATTTATTTTTAAACAAAACTTCAAAACTTAAAAAGTAAAAAGTTTCAAAAAAATTAAAGGGCTAAATATGGTGCAGTTTTTTTATCAGCTTTGATGATTACATAGAACCCTATAAATAGAATAAAGAAAGGGGTGGGCCCCACTTTTGCGAGTTTTGTTTGCCACACGTGATTTGTCTTATTAGACCTAATTTGCAAATTATTAAATTCGACATGAGATTTAGTTAGAATGTTTCACGTATTAAAAAAATAATAAATAAAAAAAAAAAAGAAAGAGGTCACAAATTTAAAGCAAATTGTGTGTGCATATATATATACTCCCTTCGTCTTATATTTATTTATTCATTTATTTTTTGCACGGAATTTGAAAAATATTAATATTATATTAGAATATAGTAGAAATAAAAGTAAAAAGACTAAACTACCCTTATTAGTATTATATGATATAAAGAGAATGATATTTATGTAATATATTATAAATTTGAAGGATATTTGTGGTGTTAGGTAGATGATACGATCACTAAAAAAAAATACATACTTTGTTATGAGACAGACCAAAATGAAAAAATAAATAAATTATTAAAGGGAGAGATGAAGTATTATATGAAATTACTTTATTTTGGTTACGGTGTTTGAGCCTGTATAAGAATCAATTGCTAGTTATTAAAAATTACATTAGTATTTTCGGAATTGGAATTTTATTTGGGTGAAGTAGTTATTATTATTTTTTTATAATTATTTTATAAAAAAATATAAATATTTTTTATTGGAAAATAATATTACTACATTTTATTAGAAATAGTTCAATTTGAGAAGCATAATAGTTGTAAATAAATAAACCCTTTATTTTTGTTTATACCTAATTGGGGGAATAAATTGTCATTTACTTCATTTAATAATTTCACTTTTATGGACAATCCAATATCATGATTATGTATATATACTTCAAAAAATTATCTTGGACAAAAAAATTTAAACAAATTGTCATGAAAATTTTCTTATAGACAAAATATTAGCTTTGTTCACCCAACAATTTTCTAAACACAACTGTCGATAAATATTAATAAAAAAATAATATATATATATATATTCACGTAACTTTAGATGATTTAATCAAAACTGTACAAGACATTTTTAGTAATAATCTACAAACACAGGTATAATACAACATGCATATAATAGGGACGGAACTACACAAAATTGACCCCTCAAGCTAAATTTTTTATAATTTTTTTAATATTAAAAATATTAATTTTTATGTATTTATTTATAATTTGTCCCTCAAAATTATCTAAATTCATATATAATTCTGTCATTATTATTTATTTAAATTTATTAGTTGAATATTAAATAATTTATAACATTTTGCCCCCCGGGATTTAGATGCTAGTTTCGTCACTGCATACAATATATATATGTATGTATGTATGTATGAATATGTTGATTGTATTTCATTATCACTATTTTACTTTTTATATCTTGAATTATTGTTATCGTGTGGCTATTAATGGATCGGCATATTATACTCGTACCATTTTTGTTTGGCCTTAACTAAGTCTATTAACAATCGGTCGGTTGTAGAGTTACTATATATCGACCAAACTTTAAAAGGTTAAGTTTCTTCCATATCTTCGTAATGCAATATTTTTAATTTAAATTTGAATCGTTATTGATGCTAGAATTAAAATAGAAAACTAGTAACTTATAAATGAAGGCAACCAAGAAAATTGGAAACAAAATCCTAAACTTCAAAGGGTAGAAAAATAAGTATTATTGATATGTTAGTACAATAAATTTTTGAATGTAAGAAAGGGACATCTTATGTTATGTATGCTATGCATTTTTTCCCACATAAAAGTTTGAGAAAATGAAAGCTCAATGAACAGAATAATTGAATTTGTGCCTTTAACTTTTTTTTACTTTTATTTCAGTCTTAATAAATTCTTGTGCCAGTCAAATTAACAACAAAAAAATTTTAAATTCAATTTTTTGAAAAACTATGTTTAGGGATTAATTGATCTTTATGTTAAAATTAATCACTTATAGGAAATTTGCTGAGGTTTTATATAAAAAATAATTAAGGGTGGGAAATCCGCTCAACCCGGCCCGATAATAGCTTTGGACCAGACAGGCCCGGCCCAATTTCAAACTGGGTTTGAAAAATCAAACTCGAGCACAGTCTGATTTCAAATCGGGCCATGCTTGACCAGCCCGTTTGGCCTATTTTTTATTTTTTTTCTTAATTATAAAATAATTTAATACTCCATCCGTCCCATTTAATATGAGCATGTTAATGTAGGTACGAGAATTTAGGTAAAATGTAATTAGTAAGTAATTAAAAAGTGTATTAGTAAAAATAATTGTAGATTAAGATTAGGATAACTAAATAGTTTAATTAAGATTAAAAAAATTATAAAATTTAAAATTTAAAATGAGATTAAAGTGTATAATTATATTTCCAAAAAGGAAATGACAAATTTTGTGAGACGGACGAAAATAAAAAATAAGGACAAATTATATTGGACTGACGGAAGGAGTAAAAGTTTATAGTAAAAGTGTCAAAATTAAACACACAGACTTCATGCCTACATCACACAACTTAAATAATTAGATTACATCTTTATTTTTAATATGAATTTATTTGTTAATATATCAATAAAATTATTTTTCAAAATTATATTTAATTTTAAAATTGGATCGAATCAGACACAGCCCAAAAAATTCCGGGCTTGTTTTTTTAGATCCAAACACGATTTTTTTTTTCGTGCTGAGTTTGGGTCGAATTTTTGAGCTGTACATATTTTTGCAAGCTCTAATATCAATATGTTTAATGGGCCTTGTTGGGCCTACAATATTGTCATTATTTGGGCCTGGTTATACTTTTCAGTCTCCAGCTCAATTTGTTAATAAGATTATAAAGAAAATCTGATATGAATGGGCCTGTTTAATTTCTTGTATATCATTTTAGCCCAATCTGATACAATTTTTGGCCCAATAATAGGGGTGGTTTAAGATAAAAATAAAATAACAACACTGATGGTGTCTTTGTAATTTTGAGATGGAATTTTTTAGGACGGAGAGAGTAATTTATTTTTAAATTTTGTTTTTTTGTTTTTGTTTTTTTAATTCAAACAGACAAAAGAAAGAAAAACATTTTTATTTACCTCAAATAAGTATTTAATCTTATTTTTTAATAAAAAATTAATTTTCCGACGCTTTCTCAATTGAGTATATAACCAATAGTTTCGATAGAATAACTTTCCGACTAGCATTGTAAAAAAAAATAAAAACCTACGATGGATAACTCTAGTAGTCGTCAAGATACACCCCAACAAATTGTGTCCGAAAATAATAAAACATCGTTGTTGTTCGAATCATACATACATAAGAACATATATGCCATCCGATCACGGGATCGGACATATTACGATCTTTCCAGTAGCTCGACTCGTTTCAAGGTATGCAAAAGCTTCGCTAACCTTATCGAAAGGAAACGGGCCCTTGGGATCGACCACGGGCTTCACCTTCCCGCTCTCCAAATAAGGATTCAATTTCTTTAAGGTTTCGGCGTTCGAAGTGACAACAAATCTGAACCCCGGCGGCGTCACAGCACCCGTTAGGACCACCACGCTGCCTCCTTCTTTCACCACCTTCACTGCCTTGTCGCCTTGCCCTGTTTCCATCCCGACATTGTCATATAATCGTCGAATCATTACCAAATGTGTCGAAGACAAGGAGAGATGAGTCGTAGGACAACAAATTTCATTATAAAGGATAATTGATTTGATTCAGTCAGTACATGTAAAAACAAACAAATAACACGTGCTTTTATTTAAGATGGTATGTCATGTCAATTTATATTTATATATGCTGTATGAATATAATTTTTGAAAATAAGTGATATCATATGTTGTTTAGAAAATTATATTACGTCCGCCTCTAAGGGTCACATTTATTTTTTGCGTCATTGTACGTAACATTAAAAATATCTTTATATTTGTATAATTTTTTTTATAAACGTCATTCTATTAGTATTATAAGATACTAATAGAAGTACTTTTGCATTTTTTTTTTATATTTGTATTACGTTTTGATATAATAATTAATATTAAAAAATCAACACGTAAAAAGTAAACGAGACCATTAGAGCCGGACGAATGTAGTATTATAGGTTGTTAGTTCATGTATTGTATTTGTAGGCCGCAAATCCTATGCTGATCCGGCCAAGCTAGCATTGTGCTGATTTGATCGGTTTAACATATGTCATATGGATGACCAACATGTGTTTATACATATATCTCAATATATGCTGTGTTATAAGATAACATATGTTGAATTATAATATAATATTATTATATTATAAATATGATGAAATACGTATAAATATATATTGGTTATTCTTATAACATATGTTGATCCGATCAAATCACCACTTGATCAATGTCCGTATTTGTATTATATGTTAGTTGCTATATGCTACTATATAGTATAGTACTATGAAAGAGAAGCGTCAGCTAAGTTATTACCAACTGCGTCGAAGACAACATCGAATTTCTCCGGCAAGTCTTCGAAGTTCTCCTTAGTGTAATCGATCGCCAAATCGACCCCCAAACTCTTTAAAAACTCCACCTTCGGCGCGCTCGATGTAGCAGCTACTTTTGACGCCCCAAACACTTGCTTTGCAAGCTGCAATCCAAACTCCAAATTCAGACAATACCGTACCAAAATTTTTGATAAAAGTACGCCAAAACCAACACAAAAATGCATTATTACAACAACATAGTATTCAATCCGATCACATCCTCAACCACCTAAACAAAGCATTTCAATTTCACCTGAACCACAAGCGATCCGACGCCGCCAGCTCCTCCTAGAACAAGTATCGATTTTCCCTCCGAAAATCCGGCCCTTTCGAGGCCTTCGTAGGCGGTTTCGACGGCGAGAGGAAGTCCCGCCGCCGCCGCAAAATCGAGGTTTTTAGGCTTCGGAGCCAACAATGTCTCCTCGACAGCTGTGAATTCTGCAAGAGAACCAAATTGCTTTGGACCTTCCAATGGATGAGAGCTTATGAATCCATAAACCTCGTCTCCTTCCTTAAAGCTCTTCACCTCTGCTCCAACCTTAACCACCACGCCGGCAACGTCGTACCCAGGAACAGTCTATGAAGAAAGATTATTACACACGAATAATCACTGCAAGTCTGTAATTGTAAAATTCCATTTTATTACATTCATGCAATAATCACACTTTACTATTACAGTTGTTGATATTTAAATATTAATTATTATATAAAAATTTAATATAAATTAAAAAAAAATTGACAAAAATACTTATATTACTGTATTAAAATACTATTACAATGATATTTGTGCAAAAAAAATATACAAATATAAATATATTTTTTATGTTAAATATAATGGCGCAAAAGCTAAATAAAACTCTTAAAATCGACCGAAAAAGTATTATTTTACATAATTTTTAATATTTATAAATTATATCCCAATTTTAATTTATTTTTATATTATAAATCATACATATATAATTTATATTTTATTTTTTAAAAAAAATTACATATACGAAAATCAACATTTATAATGAATAATTATTACAAATAAAATAATTTAAAAAAAAATAAAATTATACATTACTTTTCGAAAAAAATAAAAATATATCACTTTTAAAAAATAAAATTATATAGTATTACTTTTTAGAAAAAATAAAATTACATAATATATTCCAAAAAAATTAACAAAAATTACGCTAAACACCACAAAATACCACCATAATTTCACTCTAAAAATGCAGTGGAGTTGGAGAAGGCCTAAATACAGAGACAGCAGTGGTCAAATTGAATAGTGAGAATGAAGAATCGATTAATTTATTGGGAGAATGTTAAAATATGTACCGGAAGAGGGGAATCTGTGGCTTTAAATTTGCCGGATCTGCGTTTGGAATCGACGGGGTTGAGAGCGGCGGCGGCGACTCTGATCAAAACCTGGTCGTCGTTGAGGGGAGGGACGGCGAAATTGGAATCTAATTTTAGGACTTCGGGACCTCCGTAGTCGGAGTAAGTCCAGGCCTTCATTTCCGAGGGTATGGAGGAAGACGACGTTCCGACAGTGGGTGAGGCTTCGGCCTGCGAAGTGGCGAATAGTCTGAGCGTTGTTGGTGGGGAGGTTCGGAGGGATTGAGGTTGGGATTTGGCGACGAACGCTTTGGTTGTCGGGAATTTGCAGGAGAATTGGAACTGGAATTGGAGTGGTGTGGAAGAAAGGAGTGAATCCATGGCTATGGCTGCTGCTGCTCTTCGAATTCTACCCCGCTTATCGGATGTCATTTTTATAGCCTCCCTTTGGCTTTTCGACACGTGGCCTTCTTTTTATCTTTGGGGCCCACTTTCTCGTAACTTCTACTTTGTAGTGCAAGGTTCGTTTATTTATTTATTTTTTTCCTACTTACCCATTTAATATACTTTTTAGTCACAATTTTAAATACAAATTTTATTATTTTTTATATTTTATTTTAAAATAAAAAATAATAATTATAGCATAATACCAAAAAATATTCTTAATTTTTACTTAAATTACAAATATACAATTATATATACAATTACTTTATATAAAAAATGAAACGATAAAAATATCAAAATTTCTTACACATTTTTACTAATCAATAAAATATTATTTTTTTCTTCAATTAACAAACTATCTATTTTTTTCATTTTGTTCGTCCCATAAGGGTATCTCCAACCCAGCGCCATTAATGGCGCTGGATTGGATGATTCGGCATCGGTTGTCTCCAACCGTGCAATGCCAAAAAATGACGTTGCTTCCTTATTTTTATTTTTAAAAATTTTTCAATTTAAAATTTAAATTTTAAAATTTATTTTTTATTTTTCTAATTTTTTAAAAAATATTATTTTAAATTATAAAAATAAAAAGTTGTTTAAAATAATAGAAAAAATTAAATATTTGAAGAATAATATGAAAAATAGAGTTATGATTGGAGTAAAATTACTGTAGCAATTACATATTTAAAATTAAAACTGCATAAATAAAATTGATGGGTTCGAGATGGCCAACAAAGTATCTATTTACAATATATTATATAAATATTATTACATTTATATCATACAATAATAGTAATGTTAGGCCATCTCCAACCCATCAACTCCATTTATCTAGTTTTATTATACTAATATTTTTAAAACTTTCGTGCAAAAGATAAACTGATAACTGATATATATAGATATGAGACCGATGAGTATTATTTGTTAATTTATTAAAAAATGTCAATCTCTTACAAAAGGGACATAGAGTAGAAATTATCCGTTAGGACATTCAAAGCAATGTGATGGGCCGATTGGGGGCTATACTGTACAAGTACAAATTGGGCCCAAAATAATTAGAAAATCCACTATTGCCCAAACAATTGGGCTTAAAGATAATTTCAAATTTCTCCAATTGCACAACAAAACTTTGAGTACGATGCAGTATCATTTATTACTTCGATTTGAGGCTAACAAACATTTTATGGGATTTAATTACAGACAACATTTATAAATTTCATAAGAACAAATTCAATTAAACCTAAGATCATAAGCTTTGGCTCCGTCGACCCGAAAGATCCCAAAATGTTTCTCATACTGAGACCCCTTTTTCTCATTCTCATCGAAAAGATCGAACAAGAAAACTTCGACCCCAATTCCGGGCCTTTTCGGGGTCCCGAAATTGCTCGACGCCCTCATCATGACATTCCAGTTGTACGTCATCGCGTTGTCGGCGCCGGCGGCTTCTCCGCCGGCGGTCGGCCAGCCGGTTTCTGCCACCACCACCGGAATATCCCTAAAACCCTCTCTCTCCATGGCGTAGACGAAGGCGTCAATGGTGGCGTCGAACATGTTCGTGTAACCTAAGTTTTGGTCGATTTCGATTGTGGACGACCTGAAAAGGGCGTAGTCTAGGGTTAGGGATTTAGGGTTTCCGACGTAGCTGTAGAAGGGGTAGACGTTGACCATCAGTGGCGAATCGGTGTCGCGGAGGAATTGGAGGAGGGGGACGATCGCCGCCGCCTGATTGAGGTCGAACGCGGCGGAGGACGGCGGGTACGCCGCCGACATCACGGCGGCGCCGACCGGCGAGGAGAGCTTGATTGTGTTTTCCAAACCTAATCTCTGCAGCGCGCCGTACAGGTTGAGGACGGCAGGGACTAGGTACGGAGTTAGGTTCGGGTCCTTTAGGAGGACGTCGTTGCCGACGGCTAGGTACGGGACCTGGCTCGGGTCCACGGCGGAGAGGATGTTCGACTGCAGCCACGACGCGGCGGCGACGGCCGTCGAGTTGGCGAGCGCCGCCAGCTGCTCGTTGGGCACGCCGATTAGGAGCTCGATTTCGGTGCCTTTGAATGCGGTTAGGGTTTCCGGGTCGGGTCTGTAGATGCGGACCCGGGTTATGCCGTTGGATTTGAGGAGGCTGACCACGGCGGAGGTCGGCGGGAGGTTGGTGGCGGCGCGGCTGTAGCACACTCCCACCGGCGCTGCTGTCCCTGATTTTATGTTACAGACAAAATTAATCAATAAATAATGTATAGATATTTTTGAATTAAGTAACACTACCCTTTATCAAAATAATAATAATAATAATAAAATTACATTAAGGAAGGAACAATTATGAGCAAGAAAACCTTTTGAATGTAAATGAAAGAAGTAAATGAGAAATGTGAGGAATTTGAGGATTCTTGTTTCCATGGTTCTGTGGATTATTACTTCCTTAATCTTGTCGAAGATTATAATTGTCTGAATGTGGGGTTGTAATATTCACACACACATATCTGTATATATATTGTTGGACGTTGATTTTTGGTGGGATTCAGGTTTAAATGAGTTTGGGAATTGTTTGCTGCCATGTTGATCAACTGTACACTCTAATCTGCATGCAGATCCATTTGGATTGCCATTAAACTTTCTTTTATTTCAAGATCTTCATCCAAATTAAAATATTCTCTAAGAATTATTACTTAGTGACATTAAATTCTTATCAAGAAAGTGGATCGATGATCATGTGTTGAACCGATTCAGCACATGAATCTTACAAACACCTGATTCAGATAATTGATCCAAGAAACCCTCAAATTTAACAGTACTATTCTGTCATGAAATATTGATCATATTACTAAGAAAATAATTTATGATACAATATACTTAAGCATGATCTATAAATAAATTGGAATGCAGATTCACTGATGCAATTATATATTAAAATTGAGAGAAAATTAATAACAAATGAGGAAAAAGAGAAAGAAATAAGTGAAGAGTTGGTTGGTAATTGGTGGAAGCAAGAATCTTGAAAAGCCCCAGAATGTCTGAAGTAGATAGGAATATTATTACCTCCTTTTGATCATTCTTTGGCCCATATTCTGCCATTATTCACACCACTTTTGAATTTTAAAATTAAATTAAATTAAATAAGATCACACTAAACATCATATATAAATATATATTATTCCAGGGTAAGAATTATTTCCTATAATCATATATTGCTTCATCATTAGGGTTTCGGCACTAGCAAAATTAATTAATCTAATCATTTGATGGATCTAAAAGTGTAATCCATATCAAGATTTTGGGGATATGAAATTAATTTAAATTTTTATATATTAACAATGGTTTATAGATCATACATTGAATTTATTTTCATATATATATTTTTTTTAATTAGCAGCTAATATTATTGTCATTTTAGATTTTGAACCAGTGGTAAAGTTGAGGTTGATTGTAAATGGGATCTATGAACATGGATAATTATAATTTAGAAACTTATATTTTATAACTAATTAATTAATCTCACCAAATTTATGCTCGATTCGATCCAAATTGGTATTAAATTCCCATCTACCAATGCCAATTAAAATAATCCTTGTCAAGTTGTTACAAGTGCTTTACATATATAGCACCGTTTATATTATTATTTTCTAATCATTGAGCCCAACCCTAAAAAGCCAATTATACCTAGATAGTTCAATAAATAAATAAATAAATAACCCCTCAATCATATATACCAATAATTAGTGACATATGATCCAAATATTACTTGAGAATTAATAATCAACAAAACCCTAAAAAAATTTCAAACACATCAAATCCTAATAAAAATATTTCTATTTCAATGTAAGAAAAGGACAATTCTTGATCCAATCAGACATGATGCATGCTTAAATTCGACACACACAAACACACACTGACTGACTCCAGCAAGAAACAGTGATGTGACACTGTAAGAAACAATTGTTCAAAACAAACAAACAAACACTAAATTAAAGCAAAAGCACTTCCTTACACAAATTTCCATAGATTAATGTGAAGGCAAAAAATCAAAATCCTTCCTTCCCTGCAGAAAAGAAGACAATATATTATCTTTGTTTGTCCCCTCTTTATTAAAGAAAAAGACCCACTTTTAATTTTTTTTGAATTCAAAAAAATTAAAATTTAAATCCTTGTAATAATCCCTCTATTCCCCCCTCTTATTAAAAACCCTAATTTCCCCATCCAAATTCTTGCCCTCAATTATCACTTATCATATTTTTCCTCCCCCCATTTTCTTGATCCATTATTGTTTGGAACCAAATATTCGATTTTTCAGATAATTTAATCAGCCAAACATGTCGCAAACAGTTGAGGAATTTCCCAACGGTAATGTAATAGCCGTACAGCCGCCGCCGGAATACGGCGCGCCGCCGTCCCATTCTAACGGCGGCTCGTTCGGGCCGGTCTTCGCCGTCCTTGCCGTGATCGTGGTCGTGTCGGCGGTGGCGTGTGTTCTGGGCCGGCTGTGCACCCGGCGGGGCCGCCGCGGGAAGGAGTCGAAGAAGGCGGCGAAGGTGGCGGCGGGGAAGTCCGGCGGCGGCGGATTGGGGCCGAAGGAGTGGGAGGCGAGGCAGAAGCCGAGCTTCAACATGAACGATGGAGGAGATATCGAATTTGGATTTGATTTTAAAAAAAAGAATAATAATAATAATAATAATAATAAAAATAATAATTCGGCCGGAAAAGGGGGGAAGAGCGGCGCAGGGAAGGCGGCGAAGCCAATGCCGCCGCAGTATAACGGCGGGCATAACCCGGAAGTTAGGTTTTCCGACGTTGTGTAGAATCGCATTTGTGGGGTCCGCCGCGGCGCGTGGCGGTCACGCGCTGACGATTTCGCCCCCCTTCTGGGGGTATACAAATGATTAGTAGTAGTGTGGGCGTTTTTTTTTTTTTTTTTTTTTAATGGTTAATTTTTATTTTTTATTTCCTTTAGTTTTGTGGACTAAATTTGAAGATTGTAATGGCTCTGATGTGATTATATTAAATTAGAAAAGGAGTTATTTTTAATTTTACTGCTACGTAATAATATATAAATATATAGACAATTTATTAGCATTATATTTTTACTCATCATATAAAATCAGGTTGATGTTACTGTACTGGTTAGTGCCAGAGGTGGCAAAAATTGACCACACGACAACTCCGACACGAATTTGACACAAAATAATTAGGTTTAAGTTAAATATTTCAATCCGATTATGTATACGGATTGATACGAATCCGACACAATAATAAACGGGTCGGGGTAGGGTTGAGGCTCTCAACTCGAACTCGACAGGACAATCCGATTACAATATATTAATATTGATTAATATATTTATTATATATATAAATAATCATAATTTAATAATTTTTTCATAAATTAATTAATTTAAACTAAGTTCAATTTTAAATTATTCAACCTAATTTACGATCAAACCAATAAAAATTAATATAACACGACAACAAATAATTTAATTTGAATCAAGAATTTCAACTTAATTATGTATATGGGTCAACACGAGTCAACCCGAACTCAACACGATAATAATCGGATCAACACGAACCCGACACGATAATAAACGAGCCGAATTATGATTAAGTAATATAACCAATTTAAAATATTCAACCCGACACGAATCCGGGCCGAATTGACCTATTACCATCTCTACTTAGTGTTGACACTAAATACAATATACTCCATATCACAATTGATGAATTATGCTAGATACATATAACAATAATTAACACTGTAGATATATATATATTTGTCTCAGTTAAAAGGGTTTTTTTAAAAAAATTTTATTTTATCGTGTTATTTGTCCACTTAAAAATATATTTATTTTTTTATTGTAATATAAAATATATTAATAGTAAAATATTTTTAATTTTTTTTATAAGTTAAAGATATATCGTTACATATATACATAAAAAAGGACAAAAATACTAATTTTTAAATCATTTTGCATATTTTTCTAATCAATAAAATACTACTCCCTCAATCCCAAAAGTATAATTTTATTGTGTTGGACACGGTATATAAGAAATATTGATATTATATTGGTAGTTGGTAAAAAGTAAGGATAAATGACTTTTTTGCCCTTATGAATGTATTAGTGTAAAAAGTAGTGGCAACTGTGTAATAATAATGAAAAAATATGGATAGTTTTATGGTGATATGGTTATTTATAGAAATGAGACTATTGTTTTGAGACGGACAAAAATGATAAACAAAACTATTGTATTAGGACGAATGAAGTACTACAAATTAAATTATTTCAAAAGTACAATTTCTCAATGACAAAGCCAGTAACTAAAGTTATAAATTTAAAAATATGATCAAAATATATAATTATATTTTTTTAAAAAAATACAATTTATATAAAATATACCGAAATAAAAAATAATACTCCTTTCGCCTGCTTACAAAATTTACATTTTTTCATTTTGGACTGTCAAATTACAAAGTTTATATTTCCTTTTTTAGTAAGCATGAACCCCGTCCCATATTACTCGTATCCTTACTTTTACACTTATTTACACAAACATTATTAAAAAAAGTAAAAGTATTATAAGGCTGTTTTGGTCTTTTTACATTAAATTTATTACAGCTATTATTAAAATATAATATTTTTTCAACAAAATGTAAAACGTAAATGTCATCTTTATAACCGGACAGAGGAAATAATATTTTATGTGAGTCGGATTATATCAATTAAAAAAGGACTTGTGTACTATATATATACATATATGATTGTTTGGTTTGCAATAATATAGCTGACTGAGTCAATATTTGTGGTTTCGAGGATTATGAGATCAAACTTTACTAAAGACAAATTTTTCGGGATCATCAACACATCTACTTTTCTTTTTTTTTTTTTTTTTTGAGATTTGTTTATACACCACTTTTTTCATATACAAGGATCACTGTTTATTTGTTTTCTACCGCTTGAAATTTAGCAAATATTAATTAAATTAAAGTCGTACTCTTTCCTTCCATTCCAAACAAGGTGCAACATTTGCTTTTAACATAGGTTTTTAAGTGGACAATATTAAGTAGGATAATTTAGAAATTTGATGATGTGATGGAGAGAGAAATATATATTTTATTCTTTTATTTAGATAATGTGGGGATAAAGTGTGGGGTAGAGATTAAGTATAATTAATTATTTTCTATTTTAGAAATGTTATTGGGTGTTTGGGACATACAAAAAAAAATGTTGCAGGGTGTTTGAGACGAAATGAATATTTAATTAATGATATTTTTTTTTTTTCAATTCTTCATTAACTAAAATAAAATTTGAAAATCATTAATTAAATAAATTCTAAATAAACATAAATGAAAAAAAAAAAATTGAATAACGTGGAATCGCCTAAGTGGCATCCTTAGATTTTTTGGGCCAGAAATGTAGTTTAAAATAGATAGTTTCTGCATTAATTGGACATTTTTATTTATTGGATAAAGCCCAAATCAAGGACAAATTTGGGTCGTTTATTTGCAGTGTTTACATTTTCGATATATGTTTACTTAACTATTTTTAAAGTTTTTTTTTTATCATTTCAAATCAAAATCAATATTATTTATTTAATATATTTTTATTATTTTTTTAAAAAAATAATCGTGTGAAAATACTATTTAAACAAAAATACAAATAAACACTCTATTTTAAATTAATTTTAAATTACAATTAACTAAATTCTACATAATTTTTTATAAATATTATTAAAATATTATATTATATACAATGTATACGATGTATTTATTTATAAAAAATCAATAATTCAATATAAAATATTAATTTTACATTGTTGATATAATTCTTTATATTTAATATTAAAAAATACATTCTATCTAAAAACAAACTCTATATTTTTATTTTATTTTTTTCAATTAAACTAATGTCCATGTATTTTTTTTTTCTATTTTTCAAATACATAAATGTATTCATATATATATATATATATATATCTTTAGTTTTTCATAAACTACATTAGGTTAATTATGCATAAATATATAGTTCATTTATTTATATATATAATTTTATTTTTACAAATGAATACATAGTAAATATATTTTATTGAATTAAAAATGTATTTTAAATCAAATAAATGACTTATGTGAACACACACAATTGATTTCGGCCACACTAAAATAATAAATAAATTGATTATGGATAATAACAGTTTTTTTTTTCTCCTCAAAAATATTTTAAAATTAATAAAAATGCTATTTCATAAAAAATATTTTTACTATTTTAAATACAAAATAGAAAACTCATATTTCCTCCGTCTCATCGAAATTAAACCATTAAAGACATAGTATTTAAAGTGAGGATATTTAATTAGTTATAATATTATTATATTAATTTTAAAGTAAATTTAATATATATGATTATATAAAATTAAAATATATGTTTAAATATTTAAAAATTATATAGCAATTAAAAAATATATACAATATGAATATCAATTTTTAGAGAATAAAATTTTATATAATACAAGTAAATAAAAAAATATTTTGTTTATTTATAATTAACATAAATCAATTTTATAAAAAATGTTTAGTTTTAAATAAAGATAAAAATATTTATTTTTTTAGGAGAGAGAGGTAGAAATAAAGGGGTTTTGAGTGGTCCTATGACATTTTTGATGTTGAATATTATGTAGTTAATTAAGTTTATTTATATTTGTTAAATATGTTTTGGCTTAATAATTTTTACCAAAATAGAAATGTTTCAATTGTTACGAGATAAGACAAAAATGAAAATAGTGTCGATTGTGGTGGGACGGAGGGAGTATTAAACAACTAATAAAACACTTGTCTAAGGGTGTGTTTGTTTGGGAGACTTTCACAAATTTACATTATTCATAAAAAATTTCTTTCTCGAAAACATCAAATCAAAACACCTATTTTTTATTTTTTATATTATACTAAAAATTAATTTTACATTCAAAACATCACATCAACACCTATTTATATAACATCATACAACTATTTCAATTCACGAAATTTTTACTATTCAAATTCTAACTTAAAAATTCAAACCTCAAAACAAATACTCCCTCCGTCAAAGCTAAAAGTATACAATTACTTTTGGCGCGGAGATTAAGGAATAATAGTACTCCCTCCGTCCAGCTAGAAAGTATACATGTTTCTATTTTGGGACGTCCAATTACAAAGTAAACATTTCATTAAATACTTTACTTTTTTCCACAAATATCTCTACTTTACATCACATCATTATTTTTACACCAAAAAAGCAAGGGCAAAAATGTCATTACACTACTTTTAACTACCCAGTGAGTAGGTAAAAAGTAGTAAAATGACATTTTTGCCCTTACTTTTTGGTATAAAAGCATTGATGTGATGTAAAGTAGGGGTATTTGTGGAAAAAATGAGGGATTTAATGAAATGGTTACTTTGTAATTAAACGTCCTAAAATAGAAATACGTATATTTTCTAACTGAACGGAGGGAGTACATCCAATAAAGTATTCCATTGTAATTTTATTTTATATTTAAAATATCGCAACTATTTCAAATTTTATTTTTTATTTTTTTGCTTTTTTAGTGTGGGCTATAAACGTAGAAAACGCGTGACATGTTTGGCGAATTTAGATAAAGATTAATGAATACAAAACACCCATAATTTCAACCTTTTGAATTCTTTCACACAACTTTCCTTGAAAATTCTCACTTTTTCACAAATAGTCGACACAAAAAAAGGTAAAAAAATAAATAAATAAAAATCATTACTTAATGAATATCATATTTTGAAAAATAAAAACAGTTGATGAGACAACCCAATACAATTATAATTTCCAATTTAATTCAAACAATCGCTATTTATATATATATATATATATATTTTTTTTTATTTTAACTTATTAAAATTTGGTATTGAATTGAAAAAGT